GCCTGCCTGCCCCTCCCTCTCTCTCTCTCTCTCTCTCTCTCCCTCTCCCTCTCCCTCTCCCTCTCCCTCTCTCTCTCACACACACACTCTGTTCAATGAATATGATAACTCACACAAGAAAAAAATATCACTCAGCAGAAATAACATGTTCCCATCCAGATTGTTTATTTACACTGATACTATACAAAAAAGTAGGCCTATAACACAAAGCAATGCTAGGGAGAGAAAAAAAGAACAAAACATAAAAACAGAGAACCAGGACATTCTGAAGTTAACAACTCATCCGTCAGAAGGAAATTGCTAATCTGATCTTCACAACTGAGAAGCTATTTTATCCTTATATTTGTTTGTTTGTTTATGTGTTCATTTGTTTGTTTATTTATTTTATTGGTATCCAAGTAAGAAAAATAAAGAAGGAGACCATAACTCTGACAAAATGTAAAATTATTTATGTCGAAAGTGAAATTAAAAGATCATATTGCTATAAACACAAAAGTATCACTTGGAAGGCTGCATAAATCGCATTTAATGGCCCACATAATAATATTGGCTTTGTCTTTTGTTATCACAATCATATTCCTATGATAAAATGAAAAGGAAGATACATATATATACGTGTGCTAGCGGGTGTGCTGCTATGAGTGTCTATCATATATGACGAAACAATAGGTCAGATTTTGACAAATTATTGTTCAGAAAGCTTAAGCACACACACACAAGCACAAGCACACATAGCTCATGTTAGCTGTGTAGAACCTTTACCGATACATAGAATGTATACATGTAGTAGTCAGAATTTGACAAGAGAATGGCGAAAAACAAGACCACCTATCAAGTCCACGCTCAGAAATACAGGTATTGAATATATTCAAACAAACAGATTTTTAAATTATATTAACTCTTTATCTGCAAGGGGGAGGGGGGGGGGGAACCCACTACGCCAGGGCCCTTTTTTGGTACAAAATCTAAAAATGACAAAATCGTCACTAAACTGATCATAAATCAAAATGAGCAAACCTATTTTGATAGTTCTTCATCTAATGAATGAACTCCTGGAAAAAGAGACCTGTTTTCAGGAAAATAATTGCCAAAAATAATTCGATGTCAAATTATCGTAACGGAATGTGCCCGAGCCACGGCCATCGGCTCACCGGCCCAGTGGCTCTGACCACGAGCTGCTGGCAATGGCTTGCTGGAGATAAGGAGTTAACACATTCACGCTAAAACAAAGCGCACAAAAAAAAAAACAACATAATAAAGGTCAAAATGAACAGCTTCTAAACATGGAAGAACATGACGGGTAAATAGTTTGTTCACATACTGGAGCACAAGCCTTCCATATTACACAAATGATTTACTCTAGAAGCAACGAAACACAACCCATTGATGTTTATATTGCACAGGGATGTTGTAGCATTACACCGAATTAAGTCAGTTTTATCTCTGTGATAAGATGATTAGAAACCACACTGTAACAAGTATATCGGGCCCAGATGAACTTTTCTCTAAGCTAGCAAGAAAAATGCTCAATCAGAAATCTATGTTTATCAACATGGCTTTGTTGTCCAAAAACTAGCTGTTAATATGAAACAATTGTCTTATGCATTGCATCCTTTCCATACATCAAAATTAGAAATGCTTTTTTCTTCAGTAGAGAGAAGCACAACAACACAATAACGGTCATGTAGAACTGGATGAAGTTAAGGCAAAACAGAAAAAAACACTACAGGGAAAGAAAAGAAGTATGATGACCTATCCGTGGTGCGCTCCAACAACCAACCAATTAGAAAGTTACAAATCCATTTTTATTTGAATAAAATTAATAACTAGTGAACCAGAACAACTCTCACGGCAAAAGTGATACCATGCAGGCAACAATGACATGACATTAACGCATTGGTCAATCCTCATCATGTAGTATGAAAAAAAAAAACCTGAAAAAAAACACAAAAAAAACAACTGCATGCACATTTCAAGGTACTCAAAACAGACTAGGTTTCCTTCATAAAAAGCCACTTGATAGACAGGAAATGTATTCTATTCCTGTATCTACATAGCCTCACACGCATCACAATTACTTGTACAGCACGGACCTGCTGGTCCAACATTGCTGTTATAAAACAACTGATTTCCGAGAACACAATGCTGTGCTAGAATGGCATACCCTAAAGAAGTCAGTGAAAAAGCTTAGTACATTGCTATCTTAGCCAACGAGTTTAGCTGAATATCAGTGCTAACAGTAAGAGCACACATCCCCTGACAACGAAGGAGGTTAATTTTTCCTAAACGAATCATGGAAAAATCCTATAACCTTACACAAGAACACCTTTAGTAAAAGATACGTTAACTACAAGAGGTTACAAAGGGTTCTTTTTCCAAAGTTTCAATTCATAGGGTACTTGATTCATTACAGTGATCCACTGCACTAAACAGGAGACAATAAAATTTCCTATCATGTGTGTTTTCTCAAAGGAGTCTTGGATTGTTGTTAATTGATTACTTTAATATATTTCTTGGACATATGCATCAACAAAATATTAATGGTTTTACACTCCTGACAATAAGCAAAACATAAATCAACCTAGGAGCAGAAGGAAAAGTTATTTTCAAAACAATACAGCGTAACATGACTATAGCAGCACCATCCCTACAGCGAGACTTTACCAGAATCCCCCCCTTTTTTTTGTCTATGTAAACTCAATTAACTGTGCTTGGGTTTAATGGGGCAAGGAAAGGCCCGAACTTGGATACAGCGGGAGATCGAGCGAGCTCTAGCTGGGGGAAGAGGGTCCGGGGAGGGGGGGGGGCTGTAAGTGGGCTTCAAACAGGCAGTCAGCCGTGTGGCGTTGTGATTGGCCAGTCCAGTGATAAGGGAGGTGAGGCAGGCGGCAGAAAGAGAGAAGGTGTGGAGAGACGCGTTACATGAGCCACTCCAAAAGTGATGTGTCAGAGCCCAAGGCCTAGGTTAGGCCAAAAAGACAGTAAAAGAAGAGGAGAGCGTGTAGTGTGTGATTTTTTGGTAATTCCCCTTTGCATTCCTACAGCGGGAACTTGCTTACACTACTTACAGCGGGATTTTTCTTCTGGAACTAAAAGTCCTGCTATAGCCATGTTCTACCATACCAAGATGAACGTGATCTGCAAACACTCTCAAATTGATCATGGGACTTAGTAAGCAGAAGAAGAATAACCTTACATTGTTGAAAGGAGCATAATCCAGTACGATTTTGCTCAATTTTCACAGAAGCAGATTAACCCAATAACAAAGAGAGGATTATGGAATTCTAGGATACTACCTGACTTTTCAGACCCATGGGGGCCATTTTCAAAATTATAAAAATGTCAGAACAAATGAAACAAATAATATTTCCATCCCAGAGGAAGCAGAGAGCATACTGTCTGCAAGCTGTTCAACTATTCTGAGCAGAGATCCATAAGTAATGTATCTTTTCTTGTTTTTCTCAATATTTAAAACTTGAATTTCTACCAATCATTTCATGATTATATGCAACCAATTCCACAGATTGAGAAACAGCAGATAAACAAAAATTTTGTTTCAAAACGTCGGGCAAAGTACATCTGAACAGCTGGCGGATAATTTGTAAGCACCAATGTGATGCTGGGTAAAGTAAACACTCTCAAGACAAACAAATATTGCAAAAGTCAGACTGGCAGTAGATGTAAACCAACAGACTCAGTACATGGCGCTGACAGAACAAAGAAACAAATAGATGTTAATCAATAGACATCAGGAGAGTATTCTAAGGGTCTATTCCTTGCATCATTTGCCTTTTCCATGAGGTTTGAAGTGCTGGTAGTAACTGACGGTGATGTCAGTCATCAGGTCTTGGGTGCAGTCTGGAAGATCTCCGCTGACTTTGCCTGGTACATGTGGATCAAATCAAAATATCAACACTTCCTTTACTTTTCTTAACCTCAATAATGTATTTGTCATATCAAAACACAATACATATCGCCTGCTCAGTGTACGACTCTGTCATACGTTATTTTACAAAATGGCATATGTCAGGGTCCTACACAAAGCAATCAATATGAGGTCCCAGTTGTCGAAAATTTGTATTATTGAAATAAGGGCATATTCTTGTGGCCAATTCAATGCTGAACACGCTGATTTATAAATGTTTCAAATATTTTGAGTAGTTTTGACGATATGCCACATTTTGTAACACTTGGTGTAAAAACAAAATTTGAAGAAAAACCTAATTTGTAGCACATTTTTAAACTTTGGTGAAGTTTTATACCTCAAATTATTACGCAGCCAGACTGCTTCACCTTTGCCATTCAGGGCTTACCGGGGCTGAGCAGAAACATCCCAGCAGACAGACAGAGATACGTGATAAGGATTTTTTTTAACTTTCTCACTCTCCTGCGTATGAAAACGACCGGCATAACCAACGCAACACAGATGCTCATGAAAAATATGGGAACAGACCACACCAGCCCCATTTCAATGTGTATTTGAAAAAATCACTGTGACACAAGTGAAAGAGAGTCATATATTCTGAACTCAGAAACCATAGGAACTGCAACAAAGATCATCAAGTGCCAGATCTGCAACAGACATACATTTAATCATGTTTCTCCATTCATTCCCTTGCTTGGATGCTCTCAAAGAAGCTACATTATCCTAATCTTATCCCCCTCACCCATCTGTTTTGGCTCTCCAAGTAAGTTACTCTGGGTCCATCCTTGCCTCGCTTTAGTTTAGTTTTAGTAGAGGTTTTACGGCGCTCGCAACTGCATAAGGTCATATGAGCGCCAGAAGATTAGAGCTGTTACAAGAGAGTAACAAACATAAAAAAGATGAAGGGGAGATAAGGACGATACATGTTTGAAAGGAAAGAAGAAGCAAACCACACCAGAGCACCCGCTAACCACCCACTTGCCTCGTTTGTCTTTAATTTATCCAAAACAGACCTAGATGTTCGAGGCCTTTTTGTCTATTCAAATGTCCCAGACAAAGATAGACAGTTAAAACAAAACTTTGACCACAGCCTATGCAGCATAAGTAGGCAGTGAGTTAAAAAGGCACTAAATATTATATCTCCCCCCCCCCCAATCTCCTCTCCAACATCCTTTCCTATTTACTCACCTGGAGAACCAGAGTAAACTGTGAAAGGAGGAACAACAGTCTCCGGAGGAAGAATGGTATTGTCTGCTATAGCACAGCAGTCTTTCAGGACTGACCTCCGACCCTAGATAAACACAAATAACGAGTGAATACAATTAATCACAACTCTGCATCCAACTTAAATCTCTATTGAAAAGTCCAATTCCACTTTTAAATCGAGGAATTTTAGCTGGATGCACGGAGAAACCAGTGAGGCCTTGAGACAAAAAGCACCTACACACAGTTGAAACATTATCATGATTAACATTGAAAAAAAAGTCCATCTATTGTGCATTTTAGTGTGAAACATGATCCCCTTAACAGTGGCCAACTCCAATTCCTACACGTAACCAAAGAGGTCTTTAAAGAGACCTTAGCAAACAGTATTTAGCACAAATCTTGCTAAAATGTCAAAAGTGAGGTGAAGACAAGTTTGACATGTGAAGGTTTGAACAGAAGACGTGCCAGCAAAAAAAGAAGGTAGTGGTAAAGAAACACTTGAAGTGACAGTATTTTCTCCAAGAAAAGATAGTTGTTCGAGTCACGATTTGTCAATAGGTTTTGAGCAGTAAAGACTATGAACAACTCAAAACCATGTTGAACTTGAGAGGAAAGTGAACACAACATCAGCAATTTATGTCACTGAAGCAGCTGCTGATGTCACGTCACCTTTTTCTGTACTTTCTCCAAGCCAACAATCTGAACAGGCAATGAACATATCTATCAGCATGTTTTGTCTCTGGTACAAGAAGAATAAATAACTGTTCAACTCTGCTTCTGCAGAAGAAATGTTAAAATTTGTAGTTTTTAAAATTTATGGACAACAGAAATTATGTGAAAAGGGGAATTCAATAAAAAATTGAAAGCCAACCAAAAACATTTATTTGCATTCCCGGTCTAAGGCACCTCTTATCTCTCCATTTAAAAAATGGAAATTAAAAAAATGTTTTACCGTCACACTTTGGGCCAGGAAAACTCCTATCAGTACCACTTCTTTTCAGGACAGGAGAAATTGTTTAAAATACATTAGATTTACTACAGATCTACAGAACACAGAAAAGGATTCATTGTTATATCGGTCACTATGAATGATTTATAAAGAAAATATTAAGTAAAGAGAACAAAAGCTTTTCGAGTTGTTTACTTACAATGACACAGTTCTTTCCAATATGAACATAGGAGCCAACTTGTGCAGCGTTCACAATGGAATCCTCCTCAATCAAAACATGGTCACCAATGTGCAGAGGAAAAAAGGCAACTCTGGGGGAATATAAGGTGGGCATACCACACGAGTTTAATTATATCATTTGACAGGTAGGGGCCTACTCTGTTTCCATTGTTTCTTTCTTTCTTTTTAAAATGGAATAGGTTTCAAACTTCAACTAAAAGAAAAACTCTAATAAAGATTGGCTTTTGAAATTGAAGAGACATTGAGATCACCTTTTTCACTGAATACCACAAAACGAGAGGGAACTTTTTGATACTGAACAGAAATCTAGCAATATTATGATCATAAGACCTTGTCTTTAAACTGTGCTCAATCAGATTTTCCTTTGGTCTTGTTGCAAATATTGAAAAAAACTTACTGAAATCCAAATTCTTTTAAAAATGACAGACTGCTTACTGTAGTAATGTAAGCACATAATATTCAAACAGATTTGGCCATCTGAAAATTATTGAAATACAATTGCATATGTTGTATTAGCCACCAGTCCAAGACAATCCTCAGTGAAAACGACCCCTTTCCATA